AGCTTCTTAGTTTTATATAATTTAAAATTTTAAAGACTCTCTGATTAGAAGAACATAATTTTATTCTTATTTTTTAAGTCATTCTCTAAAAAAAAATACTATTTTTTTGGCTTTTTCTGCAAAGCTATCTCTTAAGATTTTTACCAAGTGGTACTGTATTTTTTATATAAATCTGTAGTTTTTTAAGATAAAAACTGACAATGTAGTATGAAGTTTACATGTAAAGAAATATTTTACAGAAATCTATCATATTCTTGAAAAGATTTTACAGTGTAGCGCTAGATGATGTCAAGAACTGATGGATCTCAAGACCCAAGGTGGAACATTTTAGGTGTTAAGTTCATTCTTAAGATTTTTTTCCCCAAAATTTATTTTGTGATACAAAGTGAACCACTGCCCCAAAATGAAAGTTAGTCTTCTTCCCGAGACCAGAGCTTTTGAAATCATTCAACCCTGTAACCGACTTGGTAAAACTTGTGTTGTCAGTAACTGATCTTCAAAGCTCACACTACTCAGGCTCCAGCATCTCCACCCGGAGGTGGACCTGCCCCTTTTCCTGCACTTCCATCACCCGTGCCTCGCCTGGCCCCTCTTCCAGTACTTCAGCCGGTGGCTTGCTTGGACAGGCTGATATTCATAACTTCATAAATGGGAAAAGAAAGGGTCTTTTTGTCTAATTTCAAGAATTAGCACCTTAAAGATAAAATGATGTGCCTGTGTGTTCTCCTCACTTTAAGACTGTCCCTCCTCAGTTTCCACTTCCAAAATGGCAGCAGTAGTAACTTAAGAACTGGCTTAGTCCTTTGTGGTGAATAACATGAATCACAGGCAAGGAACTCCTACAGGTTTCAGACATTCACAGCTTTTAAATAGTCTCCTACAATCCTCATTTATGATACCAATGACAGTTTTTTGAAACAGTAAAATATTCTGGACATAGGACCAAATTATTTATTCTTTCCATTGTTTCACCATTTCCCTGCTCAGGCCCCAAATTGTAATCGAAATGGCCATATCCATCTCCTTCCTTGCCGATCCCTCTCACCCCAGATATACCCTAGTAAAAGCCAAAAACTGCACCTGTCTTGTGCTGTAGAAAAGGCAGTTAACACTGTTGAGAAAAAGGCCACGGGTTGTAGAGATGTTCTTTGAAGAGTGACAGTAACACACACGGTTCTGCAAGTTTGTTTTTCTTTGCAAAGTGCAAAAATGGGTTTCCTGGAAATGAGTCTTTCTCCTCCATTGGGATAGGTGTCCAAACTCTTTAACGGCTAGGAACGGCTCTAAGCACCTAGGCTGCTGCATCTTCAAGGCACGCCTTCTCAGGACACCTTTGGACTAGTAGAACTTCCCTCCCTACTCATAACCAGTCAGAGGTGGCAAGGGCTTGTCCTTTTAGCAGGATGTGACAGCCTGTGAACCCTTGACCTTGGCTTCCTTGGCAGCAACTAGCCCAGTATCACCAGACTCAAGCTTTCCAGTGGAGTCCCTGGATCCAAACCCCAGACAAAGGCTCTTGGCTTTTCTGAGGCTCCTTTGGTTTGTGCTCCTTTCCTGTATCTTCAGAGTCAGAATCAGCCTTGGGCTTGCCTTCCTCTCATTTCTTTGTCTCCTATGGGACTGTAGAAACTTGGAAATGAGATCAGGGCCTCCGGGTCCTCTTCTGGTTCTTGCTTGTCCTCCTCTGAGAAACCCATCCACTTGAGGAGGTTCCCACTTTGACCTTTACAACTCAGCACTCAAGAACTTTCCCACCACAGCCTCTTTAGTGCTTGCCAACTTGCTGGTAATAAAGCGTGATGCTGCTCAGAGCAGCACCAAGAGTCTAAGAGCAATTGGTGTTGTGCTCCTGGTGCATCACGTAGGGCTGGCTGGAGAGTGGCACCCAGGATGTTCACATGCCAGGTAGCCACACCTGAGCCCCTTACTGAACTGGCTACCATAGGCCCTGGCCAGCGGCCCTCCCCTGATTCTGTAATTTTTAACCCAATTAAAATTATTCCATATGAAACATGTATATAGTTTAAAGCATAGAAGTTGAGTAATATCACGTATAGAATGTCTACTGTGTGCATAGCATGTTTTCATCACAAGGATGAGTAGACATAGATTTTGCGCTGATTGGCTTTTAAAAAGGCATACATACTTTCATATATGTATAACAAGATGGAAGGATCATATTAATCATGATTAAATTATACAGTAACTAAATGTGATTTTTCAGTGCTGACCTCCATTTCTGGATTTTGGAGTAAAACTCACTATATCATTTTATGCTGGAAGAAGCCTCATCTGTTTACTTTTCTTGTGAGTCATCAAGTTCATAAATATTTATCTAAAATGACCTCATATTTATTTCTGTATTGCTAATACAGACACTTTCTCTTGTTGGTAATTGTTTTGAATCCCCTAACACTTCCTGTGTTCCACAAAAGTGTCCTATTCTGCCCACCTCCAGCCTGGTCCTACTCCTGTTGGGAAAGCCTGGTCACAGCAGAGGTTTCCAGTACCCATCACTTTATTCCGCCACTTCCCAGGGCTGTGGGTCCTGTGTCAGCTGGCAGGATGTGTTATGTTTCCTTAGAATTCCACCTTATCCTGATGGCATTAAACATTTAACTTGAGTAAGTTCTCTTCAGGTGTGGTGCTCACCAAGCAATCTTTTTTTTTTTTTTTTTGGAACCGGGTATTGAACTCGGGACCTTGCGCAGAAGGTAGGCAGGCGGCAGAACCTCTGAGCTAAATCCCCGGCCCTCCAAGCAATCTTCTAAAGGCAATCTTCGAATCCTAATTAAGGCTCCCTACAAAGGTAGAATGCATTTGCTACAAGATGTAAATATCTGTTCCTTGTTTCTTGATTTCTTATTGAGTAGATCAGTAACTTCCTATTCCATCTTGTCAGTCATTTGTGAATTGGATTAGGGTAAAGTAGCTCCTAGAATTTGATTGCACTAAGACAGCAGCAACTGAAGACCAAGCCTTGGCCCTTGACAGATTGGGCAGGGCAGCAGTCCTACAGGCCTGCAGCCAGGCAGCTCTCTGTCCTTCTTCCTCAATGCTGTAAGCGTTGCTTATGAGTTGCACAGCTCTGTAATTGCTGTGATTTCTTTGCACTTTTTTCAAGAGAAATTATGAAAGGTTTTGTCTGTTTTTTCACTAACTTTTTTCTCTGCATTATTGGGGATTGAACTCAGGCCCTTCCAGCAGCTCTACCATAACTACTCCCACCCCACAGTTTTTGTTTTAAAGACAGGGTCTTGCTATCTTGCTAAATTGCTTGGACTTGGAATCCCCTTGTCTCCACTTCCCAGAGTGTTGAGTGCCACCACATTCAGCTACATTAACTTTTAAAAAGGAATATGTAGGCCATAAACAATTACAGTTGAATCTTGATCATTTTTTCCTCCCAGCTTCTGGAAAACCATTTAAAAAATTCTTTTATCACTTATAAACTTCTGGACATTTCCTAGTTCAAGAGTACCTTAGGTATTGCTCTTGATTGGAACTCTTAAGGTCTCTCCAGCCATGAATGAGGTTGGGGAAAGTAGAAGGCACTTGTTTACCAAAGTGTCTGAAGAGAAATATCTGTGAACTTAAATTTTATATGCCTAAAGGAAGTTCTTGAGTCTACTGCAAATTATATGCTTATCCCCCTTTTCAGGATTTACGATGTATGTTAGTATATAAAAGATTCTTGGAAGTCTTAAAATAGCAACTTGTTGAACTTTATGTAACCTAGCTTTCTTTAATTTACTTGAATTCCTTAATTTTAAGTGCAGAAATGTTTGTTACGTTATAACTGTTTTCTTCTTTGCCTTCTTTTGACTTTTCTGCATCTGATCCTAAAACAGAACATAAGTGCAGTGATTCTGAGATTACCAAAAATGGTTTTGTAGCACTGCCTTAGATAGCACTCCAGTAAGAGAAGCTTGATCCTTAAAAGTCACTTGGCCACTGTAATTAATGTTTCTTTTTATTTTTTTATTGTTTTAAAAAAATAATGCTCATTAAAGCATTCTGCAAATTCAAAAACTAAATTAGGTGCCTAAAGTTATGTTTTAAATTTGTATAAGCCAAAGTATAGTTTTCCTCTGTTTTTCCTGTGTTCTTTTGAATGCCCTAGGCTGGGCCTATTACTGAGGCAAGGCAAATATTATAATCCTTGTCTAGGGGAAAATGACTTCAGTTCATGTTGAATATGACCTATGAATATGAGTCCTCTCTAGAGTGGTCTGTTAATACCCTCATCCAGATTTCTAAAAGCCTCTTTTTTACTCCATCTCATTGTTATTACACTGACTCTAAGGAGTCAGTGTCTATTTACAGTTTTAACCTTTTTGTAGTGCTGTCTAGAATAACATAATTCAGAGTAAAAAGGGAAGTTATGACCCTGTGAAAAAGGGCTGGTTTCTAACACTGGTCTCCTATAGCATCTACCAATACAGAATTCATGTTTCATAGAATGTAAATGGCAGAAGCTACTTTTTACTATTTAAACTGCTTTAACTCTTAGGACCCATATTTATTATGGAAATAACTAAGTATTAGCAAAATCTTATAATTTTCATTGAGTAACCAATAAATGAACAAATGGATTAAACATTTCTTGCTTTGAATGTTGTTGACTATCACTTTTTGTGTTTAATTGTGTCTGTATTACACATGCACTGTCCCTGGTACTGCTTCACTATAATTTACCCCTGGTTTTGCCAATTCAAGATTAATTTATCCTGCTTTGAGAATAGTGCAACTTTTCTGCTTATTAGCTTTGTATTATAATGTATTGGATGTGTTAACTATTGGATAGAATTTTTCTTAGTAGAAAGTAAACATTTCCAGATTTTGTTATGTGATCACATTTTTTTTCTGTTGAATAATATTTTTGGGGGTTTTTTTTGGTACCGGGGATTGAACTCCGGTCCTTGAGCTTGCACAGCAGGCGATGAAACCGCTGAGCTAAATCCCTGGCCCGAATAATTTGTTTTTATATGTCATTTCAGTTTCTGTTACTATGGCAATGACGGCAGGGACTACAACAGCCTTTCCTATGAGCAACCATACCCGAGAAAGAGTGACTGTAGCCAAGCTCACACTGGAGAATTTTTACAGCAACCTAATTTTACAGCATGAAGAGAGAGAAACCAGGTATAGGAAAGGCTGGTCAAGCTTTTGTTAAAGTGGTATGCAATGAGCGGATTGTAAATGTGTTTTTCATTAATAATGTGTATATAAGTGATCCCTGCATGCTGTTCCTGCACTTACCATGCTCCTAGTTATTTTATTTCATGGAATAATTTCTTGGGGTACCCAAAGTCATGTGCGCACATATACTTTTATGTCGGTTGCTGTTTTAAAGAAACATTTTCTATGGTATATATCATTACACATTTTTTAGAGGGATGCTTTATGTATGACTGCCTTTACTCCAAAACATGTATAGGATAGTATGTATATCAGTGGAAGTGGAAGAGTTAAAAAAAATGGCATTTTTTTTGCCTTCATGAAACTTACAATATGATAAAGGAGATAATGCACCTAAATATTATATAAGAGAGTGAAGAGTATCACTAAAGCAAAGATAAAGATGGGGGAGATTGCTTTTGACGAAGGCAACTGGGAACACTTCTTAAATAGTAGTAGCATTTCACAGTCTCTAAAGGAAGAGTACTATTTACACAGCATAAAGGGAAGGAGAAAGGTAAAAAAAAGAATGAGAAGAATATTAGAAGAAATTACCTTCAGGTCAGGCAGTATCCAATTTAGCTCTGGCACAGGATGTGCTAAATTTCAGTATCATGGGAGCCCTGGGTGCTATGTTAATGTCGCTGTTCTCATAATATTGGAAAACCTTGAAGGTTTTTAAGCAGAAGAATTAGATGATCACAAATGTTTCTCTGGAAGAGAACTTTCATTGTGATACGTAGAATGGATGTGGGAAATTAGAAACAGGAAAGGCTAGTGATATCCAGGCAGATGGAAAGGGGCTTAAATTAGGATTGATGACAACCTTAGAGAAGAACTGACAAGTGAGAAAGATTGGCAAAACATGGGAACTAGCCAGATACAGAGTATGAGAGAAATAAGTCTATACTGGCTCCAAAATGTCATTCCCTGACAAACTGAGATTATGCAATTTAGTGAAACAGGACTAGAAAAGAAATAGTTTTGGATAGATTTAACTATAGCTGAGGAGAGAATTAGTGAACTAGAAAATTAAAACCTAAGTAATTATTCAGGAATCAGTTTAGAGAGACTATGGAAATAATGAGAGTTAAGGAACATGGAGAACAGTGAGAAGAGCAGACATGTCTCTGTAATTAAAAGTTCCTAAAGTGGGAGAGTACTTGTACCATGTACTCCTATAGACTCTGGGTTCAATCTCCAGCACCACAGAAAACAAGCACAATTCCTAAGGGAGGAGAATGAGGCATAGGCAACCAAAACCTAGGAGTGTACCCCCAAGAGAAGTTTCAGAAGATTCAATTTAGGCAGAAGGAAAGTGATCACAAATAGGAAATCTAAATGGTAAATTACATGGAAATAGCTCAAAAATTGTACAAATGCTCCCTGACTTACGATGGCTCGGCTTAACAGTTTTTCAATTTTATGATCTTGCAAAAGGGATGGGTACCTAGTAGAACCTAGAGCATGGATTTTGAATTTTGATCCTTTTCCATCCTGGGGATATGCAGTATGATATTCTGGTGATCCTGGGTAGTGGCAGTGACTGGGGCTCCCAGTCAGCCAGGCCAACATAAGGGAAAACTGCTCACGCTCTGCAGCCTACTGTGTTGCTAAGCTGGGAGGTATCAGTAGGTTAGGCATATTAGATGCATTTTCAACTAATGCTGTTTTCAGTTTATGATGGGTTTATTGTGATGTAGCCCTATTTAAAGTGGAGGGGCACCCATACAACCACAACGTAAGTAATAGTGTTAATAATGTCCTGTGCATCTTTAAAAAATAAAATTAAAATACTTCCCAGCAGTAAATTTTAAGTCAGGAGAGAAGTATTTCGAATTAAAATGTTGTTAAGGATCCTTGTAGAAAAGGGAATAAACAGGCCTGGGAATATATTGCTCAGTGCTAGAGTGTGCGCGTAGCCTATGGGGAGTCTCGGGTTTAATCTCTGTACCGCCTTTACAAAAGAAAAAGGGAAAGAAGGAAAAGAAAGGGAATAAAGATTAACTTCAAACTGACAAATAAGGATATAATTTTGATTTCTAGGGTACCAGTAAAAGAATAAAAATACATAGCTTGTAACTTCCAAATAAGGAGAAGGGGGAAAAAATGGCATGAGAGGAAGAAGTTAGTTCAGAAGAACAGAAGAGAAAAGAAAGGCTAAATTACCAAAAACTGCAAAATTGAAGTACCAAAATAGGACAAATAAGTTAGAAATAAAACCATATATATCCATAAATGTAATTAAAGTCTTTGGGAGCAATTGGATCATCATAAGAGCATAAAGTAGGAGAGAACCAAGGAAAGAAAGTACTGTGTTTTTTCAAAGCAGGCATGTAGGTTATTTCTCATAATTTTAGAGTGGTTTTTTTTCCCTGAAACTTTAAAATGATTCAGTTTTGCCCTTTATTCCCAAAGGAAAGTAAAAATAAAAATATCCGCTCTTACTAAAAAAAAAAATCAATCTCAGCCTGGTGCTATGGAGGGTCAGATTAACCAGCCAGCTCCTGTTTTCTAACAGTGAATATTTTAAGAAAGCATGTGAAGTAATTTTGAAGTTTAACTAATTGGATAAATGCATAAGCCTAATAAAGTACTACCCGGAGCAAAATGTAAGACCATTTAGAGAGAAAACTTTTTAAAAGAGGTACAAGAAAATTCATGAATCTGCCTGTTCAGATATGGTAGCAATGGATAAAAATTTCTTTATTTCTCCCCAGAATGAGGGATGATGTCATGAAGTTAGTTTGGGAGGCATCGAGGGAGGTGGGCAGTGGAGATTTGACAGAGAATAAAGTTGCTTGCAGATTGAGAGACCCTCACCTAATAACGATCCTCTCACTCTTTGGACTGTTTGTGCAGAGGATGCTGGAAATCATTCCAGTGAGGATGTTAGGGACCTGTTCCATTCTGAGTGTTCGGGGTTGAGAAAGTAGTGCTTATCAAAAGGTGCACGCCACCAGTGTGCTCAGCACGGTCACCTACGACTAGTGTTGTGAAGGAGTGGGTGGTCCATTGGGCTGCTGTTTCACAGTGGGCTTTAGCTATTTTGGTTATGAATTTTCTAGAGGAAAGAAAAGTAACAGCTGAAGAATGGTTTAGGAAAGATCTTACCTTTGAATATATTGCCACAACTAGCAATACCAAAATATATGTATCATAGTTTTGGTCCTCAAACCTTACATTCATTTGGGTAAATTGGGCAATGTTAGTCTTACCCTAGCACACTCTAAGATGAAATAGGGAGAATTGTCCTGGACTTACATTTGGGAAAAAACAGTGCAATAGAAATGAAATACTGTTTACTTGGAAATAAGTTGAAGAAAGTATTTCACAGCCATCTCTCTAGTTACTAGTTATTTTATCCACGCACACACACCCTTCCAAATATTTAGCATGACTAACTTCAAGGGTACCACTTAAAAAAATGAATAACTGAACTTGACTGTATCTAGAAAGGCAAATATTCTGACAGGTAGTGTGTGTTTTTAAAATATGTAACTTTCCAGTTCCCAAAGAATTATGACAGAATAAAATATACTCAAGTATATATTATTGAACATTGTTCCTTGATCAGGAAAATTGAGCTCAAGGTGACAGACTAACAAAAGCTCTTTTGGCTACTGAGTGTTATGACCAGGTTTTAAACAGGGATAGCTACTTTACAAACTTAGCTACTTTTTCATACTTCTATTACAGACATTGAGAAATAGAATAACAGAGCATTTAGGCAGGCAAGTGAAGTAATCTAGAAGTAGAGCTTTGGGCTGGGGATATAGCTCAGTGATAGTTGCACTTGCCTAGCATTAATGAGGCTCTGGTTAACTTGAATGAAAAATGTATATTCTGAAATGGAAATAGTTAGAAACATACGTACTTAAAATTCTAATTATTTTTTCCATTGAAAAGGCAGAAGAAATTAGAAGTGGCCATGGAAGAAGAAGGATTAGCAGATGAAGAGGTAATGTAATTACCTGTAATTATTATATGAAAGTAAGTGGGCTGGGGATGTAGCTCTGTGGTAGAGTGCTTCATATGTAAGGCTCTGGGTTCCATCCCCAGTACCCAAAACAAAACAAAACAAAAAAGGATTTTTAGCTGGGCATGGTGGAGCATGCCTGTAGTCCCAGCACACTGGGAGGCAGAGGCAGTTCAAGCCTGGCCTGGCCAAGCCAGCAACTCAACAAGACCCTATTTTAAAATTTTAAAAGAGCTGGGAATATAGATCAGTGCAAAGGACCTTTGGTTCAACTCCCAGTACTACAGAAACAAAACAGGTATATTCAAGAGCCATGCCTGGTGATACATGCCTGCAATCCCAGCTACCTAGGAAGCTGAGCTGGAAAGATCACAAGTTCAAGGCCAGCCAAGGCAATTCAGTGAGATTCTATGTCAAAATAAAATTTTTTAAAGGGCTGAGTTTATAGTTCAGTTGTAGAGTGCTTCAGTTGTATGTAGCATGTGCAAGGCCCTGTGTTCAATCCCCAGATACCAGAAGAAAAAGGATATATATGAAGTAATGAATATATATGCAGAATAATGACTAATTGCATTTGAGCTATAAAGGGGACAGTAAAGAAAATACAGAGTAATTTGACAGTACTAGTGAAAATCTAGGTTTAGAAAGCTTACTAAGAAAGATGTTTATTTTCTAGGTGTTAGGAATCACAACCTAGATTAATTAACAGTTTTCAGTGGTCAGCAAAGAGTTTCTCTAAAGAGTAGACCACCAAGTGATTTGAAATCAAGATTGTTTTCTAATCTTTCCTTTCCTTTTCCTAGGTCTGTAGCTCTATCTTTATAGTTGGGAGGTTTAAATCAGATATAAAAACATTTATGGTTTACCCAGAGTGGTTACTTTGTTAATCACCTGACTCAATCTAGAAAACTCAAATTTTAACATTTAGATTTTTACAATTAACATATGAAATCAATATACTGTTTTAAAAGCTCATTTCATTTATACCTTTTAAATTTTAGTGAGAAAAGTAATGCTTTTGACCAATAACTGTATTATTACAGTTGTATTGATTTAGAAACTTTAAACATAACACTTTAATTTGATTTCTGGAGGAGGGGTTGCAAAGCAGATGGAAGTGCAGCCTTAGTTTGGGGGAGACGTGGCCAGGATTTTTTTGTGATGACATTTCAGGTTCTGTTTTTTTGATCCAGACATATTTTGTTTGTATATACAATTCTTAATTATTTTTACTTCCACAACAAAATAGATTCTTCTTTTACCTTTTTTTTTTCTAAAATATTTGATCCTCACAGTTTATGTCTTAATGAAGACCTCCCAGTTTTCACTTTACTGTAAGAAAACAAGAGCCTGGCCCAGTTAGACCTGTCACCTGGTGACTGGCACCCTTGGTGGAAGCTAAAGGCCATGGCCACCATGGCCCAGTGTGGCTAAGTTCTTGTTTTTCAAGAAGACATGGCTGGGCATGGGTGGTGCACACCTGCAGTCCCAGAACTTTGGGAGGCTGAAGCAGGAGTACCACAAGTTCATGCTCAGCCTGAGCAGTTTAGCGACTTAGCGAGACTCTCTTTATAAAGGTGAGAGCACAGGGAATGTAGCTCAGTGTGAATGCCTTGGGTTCTATCTCTAGTACCACAAGAAGAGGGAAAAAAATGGAGCTGAAAATTTGGGCTTTTATGTGACTCACCTGCTTTTTATTAAAATACTGGAAAGTAGGGGCTGGGGAATTAGCTCAGTGGTTCTGCAACCTGCCTCACAAGTGCAAGGTCCCGAGTTCAATCCCCATTACCCCCCCCCCCAAATGTGGGAAAGTAATTCGAGTGTTTTAAAAAACCAGTGCAATCCAAATCAGTTGCAGCTATAGGATGAATACAGTTTGTAGCTTCCTATTTCTACTCCCTGGTTTATAATTAGCAAGTTCTAAGTGCAAGTAGAGCTATTTTAATTCCTCTAAATAACCTTTAGACAATGTGAAAAGATTTTGCCCCTTGCCATACCACCACTCCAAGTGCAGAGGAGGTGAGCCATGCAGATGCCAACAGCACCCCACCCTCCTCATCAAAATGAGAAGACACATAAACAAGTCTCAAAACCAGATTTCCAGGAGATCACCTACAGCAACTCTGAAGGGAAATGAGATGGAACACTCTGATACTCAACCACCTGGACTCCCTGAACTGGCAACAAAAGAGGATCTGGAAAAAATGAAATCAGAAATAA